TTTATGGTATTTTCTTATTTTGATGTTTTGAGCTTTTTTTGTTCAATAAAAATCTTTCAAATGCGACTGTAGCTACCCCCCCCCCAAAAAAAAACCTTTGTCTTCAAATAAGGGTGCTTCTTATATTCTGAAAATATGGTAAGTTAGTATTCAGTGATCCTTATTAAGCATAAACTATTATTTATACCTTACAGGTGGGTCCTTCTCTCACACAGACATTTTGTTATTGCACATAAAGCAAAAAATGAAGCTTAGTTCAAATTGATGATAGGTTAAAAAAACAACACATTTTTATTGTTTTTTCAAGAATTGTGTTTTAATAAGTTAATATCCAGTGATCCTTATTAAGCATAAACTATTATTTATACCTTACAGGTGGGTCCTTCTGCAGTTGGAAAAACATCATTAGTTCATTTAGCTGCCACTCTGACAGGTCACCCTCTTCAAGTTCTACATGTGAACTCGGATATGGACACAACAGAACTCCTCGGAGGATTTGAGCAGGTAGGCCTTTTAATCTATCTTTGATAACTTAACTCATAATGTTAAGTGGTACTAATTCTTCTATTATGTGCCACTATTTCATTTGAATTATTTTTAAAAATTAGAAATTTTAAATAAATTAATTTATTTTTCATATATCTGTTTTACTTATGTTGAAAGATCATGCAGAGAAATGATAGCAATTTTTAATGTTTTAAATTAAAATGTTTTCTTACTATGAACACTTAACACTGAAAATATTTTATTTAAAATGTTTTTAAGAACCATGACATTTTGTATGTTTAAAAATCAAAAAGCTCAGTACATAGGGAAATATATTAATCAAATTACATTGTAAAGTTTACTTAAATATGCTTATGATAACTTGGACATATGCTCAAGCTGTATTAAAGGGTTATTTGATTTTACTTACCCATTATTAAAAAGCTGTAAAGATTGCTTGAATGTTGTTTTTCTAACTCTGACATTATTTACAAATAGGAAAAAAAACACTGATTTGGGCATTAGTATTAGGTTTAATCATTTCTAATGTAGGCTGTAAAATGGCTTAGAATATTAGGTTGTTTAATAACTTATGTTTTTTTTTGTAGACTGTGAAATGGCTTAGAATATTAGGTTGTTTAATAACTTATGTTTTTTTTTGTAGGCTGTGAAATGGCTTAGAATATTAGGTTGTTTAATAACTTATGTTTTTTTTGTAGGCTGTAAAATGGTTTAGAATATTAGGTAGTTTATATTACTACAATGAACTATCAGTATTGCATTTAATTCAGAACAAAATACATTTTAAACAAAACAAGGATTTCAGCATGATTAAAATCAGGTGACATTCATAATTTACAATCTTGTACAGTTCAAGAAATATTTTGAAATTTCCATCAACCGAATTATACTTGTGTTATCAAAAGTAATAGTAGTTTGGAGTAATCTGGACTTTTCTTGATGGAAATGAATGTAGAAAAATTGTTTGAATAAATTAGTTTTAGTTCCAGATGAGAAAATAAACATATTTTTTATATATATAATAGAATTTCTGAAAATTAATATTTTTCTTCTTATTCTTATCCAGTTGATGTTAAGTCTTAGGAAATGAGAAAATAACATGGAGAAACTGTTTTCATTTTATTTTATACATATGCTGAATATGGAACAATAAATTTTATGAACATTTAATGTAATTATTTAATTTAGGAATTTTATGTACGTAGGTACTTTCCTTATCAAGTTTAAAAACTATCCTATTTGAATATTTAATAATAAAGTTCAAGTATTGTGCAAGTTTGAATTATGAGCATTACAGTATAATCTTTATATAGTTCAGGTAGGCTATTTTTTTATTTGCAAGTTTAATTGATTAATGTTCAGTTGTATAATTTTAAGGCTCAGAGACACACTTTTAATGCCATGTTTAATTCTTAATAATTATTTTAAATACATAGTTTCAAGACTTAATTTGGTAATGTTTTTACTTTATTACATGTAATTGAGATTATAACACCACTATCTATTGATTAATATTTTTTTTCTTTTTATTAAATAGCAGTTAAAACAATTCAATTTTTTTCCTTGAAAAATAAGGTTGTGTGCAATAGAAGCATAATTACCACAAGAGAAAGAATAACAAACCAATATTGAAGTATTTCTCATATTCATTCTCCAACTACCTCTAGACATAGAAGATATGTTTTCTGTGCCTCTGGCTAGTTACTTACTTTCCTGTTCCTTTTTTTTTATTTACTTTTCTTTAGCATTTACTCATTAAGTCAGAAACACCATTTAGATATTTATTCAGGTTTGGTGCCCTTGTATTGCTCTATGATTAAACTCTGGGGGTCTTTCTTTTACAAGACAATGTGCCTTTCCACACTAGACATCAATTACCCTCAGGCAGTTTTTCTTTTTTTTACATGAAAGAGGGTAGACACAAAGAAAAGTTCCTTCTCCAATAACTTACAGGATTGAGAAAAGTTCACCCACTTCAGAAAATGATGTGCAATCAATACAAAGATTCCTTAGGGAGCCCAGCACTGCAACATTTCTTCCATGTAGGTTTGAAATAAGGCAACAAAAAGGAAAACTGAGTCTCGCTAATAACCCTTTGAGATTTGAGTTGGAGCATTCAGTGCTGAAATAAAAACATAAGTACCAATAAAGATCATAACCAAATCTTACTATTTTTTAAAATTAGTTGGTGGTTCATTTTCAAAGAGTATGTTCATTGAAAGAAAATGTTATGGATCTTTATTACTTTAAAAGAAGCATTTGGTTAGGTATGCACTATTTCTTAAAAAATAATACTTAAATTTTACGATATTTTTATGGCTAATTAATCAAAATATTTTATCTCCACACAGTTAAAAATATCATACTTTTTATTTCATGTTAATGTGTAATATTTTACATTAAGTTTGTGTCATTGCTGTTTTGAGTAAATCCAATCAACTTTTCATTGCTTTGTTTTATACACTTTAAAATCTTAATTGTTTTAATACTTTATAGTTATTAAGAATAAGTCGTAAAGATCTCAAGTTGTACCAGCAAATTCAGAACTGGATTTTATGTGGTACTAGTATATAGCCTGTCAAAAATGACGGGGCAAGTACTACCACCCCCACCAAATAGTATACCCTAACCTCACATTTCATAGCTAACTGAATTAAATAAATTTTGCAAAATCAAGCTTGACCAACAAAAAGGCAGAAAAGTGCAGTCAAGGTAGTCAAACATCAGTAAATTCCTTTGTGAGACAAAATTATGATCATTCGTGAAATGAATTTGTGGCATATTCAAAGAATAATTATTGGTAAAAATCAGTTAGATTAACAACTTCTAATATGTAGAAAAGCCAGTGCATTTTGGTAACACTACATTCCAACAATGGCTTTTATGTTATGTTGCTTAACAACAAAAGTATAACCTAATATTGTTGTTAGTCTATGTACTTAAAGTATAAAATAAAATGTATAGACAACAAAACTGGAAAAATGTTTTTAGTTTTCTATGCATGTAATTATTTTTTTGGTGTGTCACAGGAGATCACTGAAGACATATTTCAAAAATTATTTTATTTCAAATGTACTTGATTGAAAGTAGAAATCTTGTAATATTTGAATTTTGAATATATTGTGAAGTAATTTATTAATCTATCCAAATTATTAAACAGAGGTTGAGAACATTATTTTAAAATAATTTTTGAGTTTCACCACATCATTACAATCCATGTTGCCACCTTCACTCATGCTTTGTCTGACAAATGTGCATCTTGACAAAAGCTCTACAACATAGTTTCAATTGCAGAAGGCTCCCTCATAAGGCTGTTATATCCAAAACACACCACTCCTCCATGCTGGCTTTCCATACTCCATCTACTGTATGAGGATAACATTTTCCCTCTACCTGTTCAAAAGCCCAATCACACAATAATCCATAGGTGTTCAGTTTAGTAACTTGACCAGTATATCTTCATATAGAATAACATGAATATCATTTTATTCTTCAACTGTTTGGGGTATGTGATGGGTGAATGAGATGTATGACAGGAAGCCTTATCTAAATGAACCCATATCATGTTGATCTTGTTTCCAAACAGAGGTTATTTTGGATTATGTTGTGCACTGTTGCCTCGAGCATATGAATGGCTTTTGCCACTGACCTTTGCATTTGGAGATTCTTACATTTTTTTTACAAAACACTGCACTTATCCTAGCATGACTGGGGTATGAGTATGTTGTAGGTCTTTTTGTAGATGATCCTGTGCCCCTAGTTGATCCATATTTCATTGTTTTCCAATGCCATTAAGTACAAGTGATATCCCTGTCTCAGAAATTCTGAATTTAGATCTGAATACATCTTTATCATCTGAGTGTATGAATATTTTGAGGTGGAATGGGCTGTTACATACCCTTCCCAAAAGTGAAAACATTTTGGTAACATCATACTATTTACAAAACGCGAAACAATGTTAACGTGTAATTCTGATGTATGCCATTCCACGACAACCTTTATATTGGTTATGGTTGTCATGTGACTTGCTAATTAGCTTATTCAAATTTTGATATACTCAACCCTCTGTGCACGTGTATATATATATGTGTGTGTGTGTTTACATAATTTACTGTAATTTTGTGAATTACTGATAAAGGAGAGAAGGATGTAATAATAAATAATTGTTTGCCAGTGCAGGAAAATATCTTACATAATATTTTATTAATTGTGATAATTATGCATATATTTACTTTTTCATGGTCCAGTTTATCTTTTCAACTGGAAAATGATTTTATTTTAAATATGTTTTCTATCAAAATGTCTAAGTTTTGAAAGTTTACGTACTTACATTATAACCTACTATGGTGCCAGTCGTTTCCATAGTCAGTAGATGAAGCTTCTTATCTAGAGTGTTGTTTCCCTGAAAAATAAAATGTGAATGTTAATGTTGACTTGCTGGTTGGTATACTACACAGTTAATCTAACAATCTGATCTTACAGGATCTAGGTTTATCCACAATTTAATTTTGTTTCTGTCATAAATAGGATATTTGATGCTAGTTGTGTATAATTTTGGAAAATTTAATTATCAAATCCTTATTTTTAATATAATTTTGGAAAATTTAATTATCAAATCCTTATTTAATATAATTTTGGAAAATTTAATTATCAAATGCTTATTTTTAATATAATTTTGAAATTAATGTATTAGTTTTAAACTACTCAATATGTTAATACATATGGTTTATAAAATATATAGATTATGAAGGAATAGATGGACTGAATACTCTGGTAAATACACATACCATTCCTGTAACATACAATTAAACTATCTTACAATTCTGTTATCTGCTACAGAGAGTTTTGGATATTCTGCATTTCAGAGGACCATTAATTTTAGAATGTGTTAAGAAACATTAAAAATTTAAAAACTGTTGCACTATTAAAAGTATTCTTTGCATAAAAATTAAGTATTAATATTTTTGTAGGTTACTCGTTGTAATAGTAGAACATATAAGGAATCACTATTTATATATAATGTAACTATTTTTCTTTGTGTTCTCTTAATTCTGATCCAGTTCTGATAACCCTTATACACAAAATATTGTCGTTTTCATGAACATCTGGTAGTTTAATGTCATTTTACTTAATAATTGCATGTATAGATAAGAGTAGTGAATGTAAGGTACAATAGCTGCTCTTTTGTTAACTTGTGTGCTCTGTGCTGCAAATTAGAATTCTTGGTGTAAAATAAAACAGGTCAATGGGATAGTTTTTTTCAAATCTACTGTCCTTCAGGAAATAAGTAAGAGTGATAAATAGTTTTCTGTCATTTCAAACAATGGGAGTAGGATACACAACAAAGAGTTTGGGGGGGGGGTCATATACCACTGCATGCCAACATGCAGACATAATACCCTTAATAAATCAAGCCTTTGATTGCATATACTATAAAAGAAGGAATATGTCAAAGAAAGGAAAGATCTCAACAGTTGACTGGATTTAGTTATCTTAGTTTTTTGGATAAACATCATCCTCTGGAGTACGTGTAAATGAGTGTAAGCAGTGGAATTGGACCATTTTATTAAAGGAACTTGATTTAGTTTCTGTTTGTTACATTAGCTTCTATATTTATTATTTCCCCTGGTATTATTTTTACAAAATATGCTCTTCAATATAATTCACATGATCTGTTATTTTTACAAAATATGCTCTTCAATATAATTCACATGATCTGTCATTTTTACAAAATATGCTCTTCAATATAATTCACATGATCTGTTATTTTTTACAAAATTATATGCTCTTCAATATAATTCACATGATCTGTTATTTTTACAAAATTATATGTTCTTCTGAAATATCACTTCACATTGTCCAAGTTAATAATTCCTGAGCATTTCTATAAGCCTTTCAAATACAATATTATTCAATTCTGGAATATAAATATTTATGATTTCATTTTATTCAAATCTACCCCTTTCAGTAAGTAAAGGTAATTGGATCAAAGCGATGACCATGTAATTCTTTACCTCTTATGTCTATTTTGACCATTTTTATATTTTCAAATTATTAAATAACCTGTATAGTTTATTGTTACAGAGTAAGACTACATGTAACAGTCATATGGACAAAGTATATTAAATAGCCTTATGTGTACATCCTGCACACATAATAGTATGATGTAGCTGTAAATGAACATAAATAAAGTACTATTTTTATACAGAGGTCACTCGCTTTAATTGTGATCATTTATGCAGTAATTAGAATAACCTTCTCATCTTCATAGGAGAGCATTGTCTGGTGGTTAGCATGCCTGGATTGTGAGTCAGAATATTCTCTGTTCACAACCCATTGCTTCAATACATGCTCTGCACTTTGAGACTGTGAGTGTGCTCTAAGAGAGTGTAATGTTCAAATCCCACTATTCAATCAGACAAGCATAGCCAGAGTTGGCAGTGAGTGTTATTTGCTAGCTGCCTTTCCTATAGTTTGTAAGCTATAAGTTAGGGACAGGTATATAGATGCATGTAGAACTTGTATAGCTTTGGGAAAAATTTTGAAACAAACAAATCGTCATAGCATCAACACCTTTCTGTTCAAATCTAAAATAACCTGAGGAGGTTTTCAATATACATATACTTGTTAACATTCTAATTTGCTCAGAAGTTAACTTTAGAGAGTAAATTTGCATGTGTTCTTAGCTATAATATATGCTATCACACCGAGAAAGCTAAATGATGAAGTTCTGCAGAATCTGTGTTCAATTCCCTTTGGGTTTGTTTTATCAGAATTCTAGGGAGTGAGAATTGGAATTGCTTTTGTAATGCTACTGTCTTAATTATTGAGGTGATGATGTTTTGAACTCAATACTGATGAAGTACAGCATAAATTCCTTAACATTGTCCATCTCAAGAAACCAAGGTAAAAATATCCTTAAGATTTTTCAACCATTATTACATTGAGTTCAAAGCATCTTCACAACATTAATACGAATACTGAAAAATCTATTATTTTATATCAGAGCATGATCATTAATAATGCTTCCTTAAATAATTCTTAAACCATTTTATAGTGCTTCAACAACCGAAACTAGCAATTTTATGAGAAAATCTAATTTTAGCCATAACAAAAAATTAAACATCAAACTCGCATAACTACTATAACCAAACAGAGCTGACTTGATATTCAGATCATATCCATCTAAGGGCATCATGCAAAAAACACAGAAAATTCCGACCTTTGTCTTTATCAAATAAGATTTGGTCTTTTTATTAATTTCCCCAAAACATACATTGAAAATTGCAACTTTTTCGTCTCTTCAGCCTGGTTAGGTTTAAACACATGCAAGCATTGAAAAAAGTTTGTGTTATAGTTGATAGTGCGATATTTTTGACGTGTAAGTTAATGTAGGTCTATGGGGCTTAAATTAATAAATTATTGTGCTATCACTTGTTTAGAAATCTTTAAGATTGTTGCGCTAGTGAAATCGTTAAACTAATTTAATGTTATTTGAATTTCATGTAATGAAAAGTTAAAAGACAAACTTTATACATCGTTTGAAGTAGTCAGAGTTTTGTGTATAAAACATCATTAATATTTTGACAAGTCGGTAAATAAAACGATTCTTGAAATGCTGAATTTAGTTGGTGTTATTTAGTTTGAAATGAGAAATATTTTGATATTGCTTGTGTTCTTAATAGTTTCTACAAGGGTTTGGGATATTGAGATCTTGATAAGAAATAAAAATACGCGCATTCCGGGAATTGAACTTCATTGAAAATATGTAGCTGGTGATCTTGGTAAAACATAAAACACAAATTGGTACATATTCCCCAGGGCATGTTCCTGATTCACCAGTATAAAGTTTAAGTTAATGTAATGGAAATATCAACATAGGAACGCTTATTGTGGATATGTATACCAGAAAAGTTTGAAATAAGTAAGAGAAAAATTTACTTCGTTCACGCTTCACCGAAGAGGGATAAGACTTCCTATGTTCATTTCGTCCGTAACCGATTGAAGCAGCGGTGAGCATTCCATGCATTATATAAACGAACTCTGCCGGTTTCTTTTGCCAACAACATTTAATACATTAAGGTTCAGAAATTACTTTTTTTTTGCCCTTTCTTTTTAGCCCGATCACATACGCATTGCTTCTGTGTCAGTACGTCTACCCATTAACCATTAAACAATTATCTGTTATTGCATAATGTTTATCGTTTTGCTCATATATAGATCTTCTTGTGATTCCTTCTTTCCGATAATACATGTTAATTAGTATAGTAATATATTTATAGATAATAATTGTTTTCTAGACGAGTTGAAAATTTTTCGCGGATACCATTATCCCTTTTTTTTATTAATCTGTAATAACTTTAAAAAATCACTTGTAAAGTCTTCGTTAAGTACTCGAAACTTACACTTGTCACGAAATGTTCCAATAATTAATGTGTCGAAATAGGCACAGGTTAATTACTCAATTTCGTTTGCTTGTGTTTTTATTTAAATACGGTAATCGATCTTTCCATCAATTCCAGAGTTAACTGATTGAATAAGGTTACTTTACAAATCATGCCAACACTTAGGCGAGTCTGTTAATTCGTTTTTCACAACCAGATAGGTTTATAAACATGATAAACTGTTTATGCAACAAATATCTTGTGGATTCCCGACTTTGTTGGTTGCGTAGTTTCTAAGAAAAATGAGTCACAAAAAAGCAATCAGAATTTAATTAATTCCACTAAATGCTGCTGTGATCCCTATTGTGGCTTACATAGAAAATGTATGATTTTGTCCTTTGGGGGGGGGGGGTCAGTACTTTACAATAAGTGCTGTAACAAGTAAAAAAAGTAGTGTAAATACTATATGTGGACTCTACCAGTAGTAAACGTGTGAAAGCATATCGGCAATCTGAAGGTTAACTTCTCTCATAATTATTTTAATCTTTATTTTACAAATATATATAAAATGAATATAGTTTTTGCTACAGATTCGGATAAAAAAAGATGTACCAACCTGAGTGTACATCATCGTTATTGCCTATAATTCAGTTTCAGAAACTGTTGTTAAGGTTGTGGATGTTTTGTGCGAAAGGCAGATAAATACGTACAAGTATGCTTTTTACGTACACAGTATTTCCTTTCTTTTTAGAAACCGCTATTGCAAAGGGTTTAGATGTTTTGTCTTCAAGGTATATAAGATGATCGATCATCACCAAGCAAAAATAAATAAAAAAAATTTAGAATACATTCGTAACCATGGAAACATTTAACTCAGAACCCATAACCTTGTTATCTGTGGGCTTTTTTTTTAATACCTCCTGTCTTCTGTAACGATCATCTACAAATCCCATTTCATTGTCAGACACCTGAGGTTACCATGGGAATGTACTGCTCCAATATTCAATCCCTTGTGGAG